CCACACCATCAATTACATGTAATAAGGTTCCTCCAACACCTTTGTTGGAGGCATCAACCGCTAAAATAATTTCTAAATCATTGTTGAAACAGACTAAAATTGGCTCTTCCCCAATTTTTCCCTTTAAAATTTCAAATGCTTCTTGTTGCTCTACTTTCCAATCGAAATGAACACCCTTTTTTAATAACTCATATAACGGGGCAGCTACCTTCGCAAAATCCTCTATAAAACGATGATAGTAATTTACCATACCCAAAAAGGACTGCACTTCAGCCTTATTATTGGGCTGCTTCAAATTTAATATATTTTTCAAATTTTTTTGCAATGGCTTCACCTCAATCCCATTTATTTGATGGCCTAAATATTCGACCTCCATTACACCCAAAATGCTTTTCTCTTTGCTGGCTCTCAAGCCTTTACCATGAATTCTTTTAAAAACTTCCTCCAGACGATGGTTATGCTGCTCAGGCGTTATCCCTGTAATTAGCACATCATCCATGTAGTAAAATACACCCTCTAGTCCTTGGAAAACGGACGCCATGGTGCGCTGAAAAATAGGCGCTGACACACTCAACCCAAATGGTAATCTACAAAAAGCGAACAACCCTTTGGGAGTCGTGATCGTCAATAATTTACGAATCTCCTCCCTCAAAGGTAATTGTAAATAGGCTGACGAAAAATCAACCTTCGAAAAATATTTCGCTCCCTTCAACTGGGCCAAAATTTCCTCAATTCTGGGTAAAGGATATTTAACCTCTACTACCCATCGATTAACGGTTACTCTGAAATCAGCACATAGTCTCAATTTACCATTTGATTTCTTAACCGGTACCAACGGGGTTGCCCATACACTATATTCCACTGGAACAATGATACCATCTTTAACCCATTGATCCAATTCTTCGTCAATTTCCTTTTTCCATTCAAAAGGGACTCGACGACACGCTAGGAAAATAGGTGCACATCCTTCCCTTAATTTTATATCTACTATCATTAAGACAACCTAATTTGTCTTCGAAAATTATTTCATACTTCTTCATTAAACGAGATATATTTTCACTCATTTTATGTAATTCAGGAATACCAATAGCCACCACTGGGATTTTATCAATGCTAATGTTGTTTTCAACCATTAATTCTGTGGACTTTACATACCTATCAGAATTACGGGTTGAATCATTTGGTTTTATGGTTAAATCCTTCCCTTCTATTTCACGGATATTTTTTCGAGCGTTATAAGCAATATTTTGGTCCTTCGGGTTAATTATGGCCGAACCATTATGTAGGGCAAAAATATTCCAATAATTACTGAAAGGACCTAACTGAACAATCCAATCCCACCCCATGATGGTTTCCACATCTTTCTTTACTACCCATAAATCTAGGAAAAATGTGGTATCATGAAGAATTACGCCCAATTTAGTTTTTCCCAAAACGATTATCTCAGATCCATCGAATTGTCTGACACACATAGATTCTTTCTCAAGCTTACCTTTAAGCCAATACTTAACAAAATTTCTTCGAGACATTATAGAAATGCTAGCCCCTGTGTCGAACAACATGTCAATATCCCTCGAGTCAACTCTTACGATAACTCTTGGACAAGGACGAGGTTCGACTAATCTCTCAGTCATTAAAATATCATATGTTTTAATTGACTGATCAATATTAATCTCATTTGAAACATCAGTTTCATGAGAATTCTCATTTGAACATAAATTCAACTCGGAATTTAGTGGTTCCGTAACCATATTCATTTTTCTTTTTGCCAAATAACTGGGATATTTTTCCCATCTGAACGTATTAATACTCCTTTCATCGGAATATTTAACAATACCCCTAGGATATTCCTCCCATTTAAAATCATTAGAATCTTTATTATTTTTATCATCATGAATAAAAAAATTTCGGTTATAAACCCGGCTTTTACGAGAATTATATCTCATTTCAGCATGGTTATTTACTTTATTATCATTTTTCCATCCCGATCTCCTACCTACTATATGATTACATTTGCAATCATATAGTCAATTTTTTATACAGTTTATGGCTACATGTCCCGGTTTGTTACATTTAAAACACACACGGGATTTGCCATAATTCGGTCGTAAAACATCAAATTTATTCGTGTTAGTACCAGAAATTTTTCTAACATTAGAATTTTCTAATGCCAGTTTCCTTAACGGAAAACCTTCACGAAAATTTTGTTCTTTGACTACGCAGGTCTCTACCTTGTGACCCACATACCCACAGCGGGTACATTTCAAATCTTCTAAAATTTTCTTATGACCTGAAAAACCATTTTTTTCAATGGAAATATTTTTTCCATTTGTCCATGTCGGCCCACGTATTTGGCCTTTATTAATATTACTATTCGTAATCACCAACGTATTTATATCTTGATATATAATCTTAATCACTTCTTTTAATTCTTTCAATTCCTGGAGGATAACTATAGATCTCTCCACACTATCCAAACGGTCATCGTTATTATCTTTCATCGTTTCCACCTTTTCAGGTCTGCCGTTCTTGATTTCATTTAAAATTCCATTTAAACTACTTTCCAAGACCGCAATCTTTTTCCAACAATCAGCCGACACCGGAGTGTCTAATTTCCAATTACCATATACCTTGGTCGCAACCAGCGTACATTTTCCAAACAAAAATTTTATCATAATATGTAACACATACAGTAGGACCAACAATAAAATTGTCACTACGGCATTATTTACATCAAATTTATCAACCATTTGATACAAACTTTGATAAGTAATACTCGGATACTCCGAAATTTTATCAAATACGCTAGGCTCAATATCAAAATTAAATATAAAGCCCATCTCATTATATGAAAAATTTATATTACTTTAAAACGACCGTGTTAAATTTCTAAAAATTTACACAAAAAGGTGATTGCGTTGTGTTCTGAGGCGAGATACAAAATATAAAATAAAATATTTTCTTTTACCTTGAAATACCGAATAACCCTGGAATCGAAACAATCCTGGTAGTCTCGGTCACCAATGACAAAAACAATTATCTTATTAAACGAAAGTTTTGATTAAAAAATACTTAATATTAATTATATAAAAAAAAAGAGACTAAATTCTAATATAAAAATAAACTCAAAAAGAAACACTACTGAATTAAAGAGTTAAATTCGGAATTATAAAATAAGGAAACACTTTTTTATTAAATTTCATAGTTTTTATCATTACAAAAATATCATGGAAAAATTACCAAGTAAAAAATAATGATTTCTTTTTCACAAAAAATTAACAACTTATTTTTCAGAAATGACTGACATTTCATTAATTAAAAACTAATATATATATATATGTTTATAAAAATTGATTGACATTTCTATTAAAATAAGTATCGTTTACGACAATGTCTACCAAAAAATATGGAAATTTCAGTTAGCATTACCTCAACTTGCAACATTGTAAAACATGTAAGGGTATAGATACTAAATAAATGTTTACAATTTTAATTTTAAATTTTAAGAGAAAACATCAAACACTCTTAATCCAAATAAAAAATAGAAGGAGAAAAAATCGATTAAAGAAAATATTGGACTAGGCTAATCGTCCATTGATTTTTTTTCCAAGAGACCTCAGATTTTAACCCATACCATTTTAGATGATTTAATATCTGATTTTATTATAGATAACATTCAACCATTTTCAACTGTTGAAAATCCATCATTTATAAAAATGATCAAAACATTAGCTCCACAAAAAAATATAATTTGCAGACAGACAGTGGTTGCTAAAATTTCCCAAAGATGGGAGAATGAAAAGAAAGAAATCATTAAAAGTCTAATAGAACCATTGTTAATATGCACAACAGCAGATTGTTGGAGTGCCTATCGCCGGTAAACATATTTCCCAGCTCATTATTAAATTGAAAAATTTTAAACAAATGAACCTGAAATTTTTACCACTCTTAAATGCCTTACTTAAAGAAATTGAAGATAGGTAAATTAATAATAAATTAATCAGTATTTAATAATTCTGTTTATTAGGACAATTTTTGAAGATGAAAACATTTTGGCAACTATACTTCATCCTTTTTTTAAACTAGATTGGACATGGTTGCAAATGGATGAAAATTTTAATAAAAAAAACAATTAATACAAAGATTAGTTGAGGAATTATCAAAGTCTTCAAATGAGTGCAAATTAACCTGTGAAAAAAAAACCAATAATTTAATATCAGATTTTTTTCAGTATCCCACAGCAGGAGATATGATTGTTAATGTTTTAAATTCTGATAATCAACAAATTTTAAATAGTTTTTTCAAAAATGAATGCCGAGATTTTAGTATTTTTAAACAATATCCTGATATAAAAATGTTATTCATTAAATATAACACCACAATCCCTTCCAGCGCCCCTCTTGAAAGAAGTATAGCTAAAAATGTCTTTACAGATAAACGAGGATGTCTTAATGACCAAAATTTTGAAAATATTTTATTACTGAAATCTAATAATTATTTATAATCATTTAATCATATAATATATTACTTTATTAATGATATTTAATAATTATTTATATTAATCATATATTAAATTAATATCTAAAAATCATTATTTTAGTTATATTTTGATAAATGTGATATCGAGTCAATAAATTTTTTAGATCATTTCATGAATTTTCACAATAGAATCCTAATTTAAGTTTATTCAAACCTTATCTAAGAGTATAATCAAAAATGTATCTGTACATAGATACATTTTAAATTGTATCTGTATCAAGATAACTTTTTAGAAGCTGTATCTGTATCTAGATAAATTTTTAGACTATATATCTGTATCTAGATCCATTTAAAAAGAATCTTTTAACAACTCTGAAAACTCGTGATGTAAATTTTCTAGTTATGATATCCCAATCACTGGGTCCTTTCTTTCTTTTTTACTTTTTCACTCCTTCTTTCTTTCTTTCTCGCTTTCTGAGAATGTATTTAATATCAGATAAAAATATTTTTAATTTATATACTGTATTCCAGTTCCTTTCATATCCTAAAGCCGATATTTTTTTTCATAATTTGTAAAAAAAATGTAATATCACTAAAATAATTAATAATGACAGACTAATTTTTTAACCATTTACTGCAAAAAGTGATGGAAAGGAGAGTTGAGATTGGCATTCGAACAAAAATACCCAGGCAAAAAAGGCATTGGACAAATATGCTGAGTAGTAGAATCTACTTTTGAAATAAATAAATATGGGTGATCGTTTGTTCGATTAAAAAAATATTCAGGGCTATTTTGTATGATGCCTTTTGACCCGGGATATTTTTGACCTGTGATTCTCTGAGATTTAAATTATCTATATAATATGCAGGATTAGATCCTTAATAATCCTAGCCAAAGATGTATAAGACTTTTGTAGCCTATATCGCAGAGTTGCTAAATCTTACTTTAAAAGTGGCGCGCTATTAGCTATTATTTTTTAAGAGTAGCTTTGGCTACTTTTTATAAAAAAACTTAGAAATAAATTTCTTTTATTTTTTGCTTATAATTCAACATTTATAAATATTTAAATATAGTTAGTTTGATTATAAAAAAATTTATGTAAAAAAACTATAATTTATGTAATAAAAATATCTATTGATGGTAATATTCATTTTTTATTTATTTTGTTGCATTTTAATAATAAAATCATTTCAATAATTCATCCCCAAGTCTAGAACGATGATCAGAAAGTATAATTTTCGCCTTACTAAATAATCTCCCAACACTAGCACTTGAGCTCAAGGCAGTATTTAATTTTATATAATATTTTTAATATAAGAAAAATTTTCAAAAATATTCATTTGTATTTTTAGATTTAAAAAATGCGTCTAAAGGATTTTCTATTATATTAGTATCCTTTATTTCCAAAAAATAATCAATGAAAGTCGTCTTTATGGTTCTAACTAGGACATCTTTGTCTGCTAACACAATCAATAGTGTCTGGCGACAATAAATTGTTGCCAGATGATAAAGTTCTAATCATCATAGTATGATGGATTATCAACCAATGACATTGGCTGAACTGTATCAATTATAAAATCGACAATAACTTTATCAGCAAGTTTCTGAGAAAAATTGGCATGTGCAATATTTATTATTAATCAATTTAGCTTGAATTGATTTGGTCTTTTTGAATGTAGTCTCCCTTATAACAAAACTATTAAGATGTTTTTCTATCTCTTTAAACTGTTGGCATGACATTTTACCAAATAAAAATAGTATTAGAATTTAAAAATGACAATTGTCTTTAGGTGTTTTTTGAGTTAGCTACATTTGAGGATATATTTTTTACAGTTCAAATAAATTTTCACCTTTTGTTTTTACATTAATTTGAAAATGAAAAATGTGTATTATTGTTATCAAGAACATTTTCTTCCAGAGTACCTTTCATTTCATTAAATTATCATCGCCTGACTCACTTACATCGATTTGGATATCCATTTGCGATGACATTTTAAATAATTTACACCAGATGATTTAGGTTTATAATACAAATTGAAAATATAAATTACAATTTCAAAATTAAATAATAAATTATAATTAATTATGATATTATATTTAAATTTTCATGTTTATAATTACATTCTATTTTAAAAAAGTAGCTAAGTAACGCGCTACTTAGACTTTCAAAAAAAGGAGAGCTAAAAAAATAAATAATTGGGAGGGAAAAAAGTAGCGCATTAGCTATAGCTACCAAAAAAGATATGCTAAGTAGCGCGCTACTTTAACAACTCTGCTATATCGATATTCATTCCAATACGCCCGCCAATTACTATATTAGATAACCCAAATAGATATCAAAAATAATAATTGTAGTATTATTTATTGAAAAAAGAAAAAAAGGAAGGATATAATTTCATCAATATTATCTTTCTTTTTTTTTAAAAAAAAATTCATTTATAATTAATTTATGAAATTCATGAAATTATATTAAAGAAATATGGAAATAAAGATTAAAAACCTCTTCTTTCTTTCTTTCCTTCTTTTGTATCGGTTTAGGAAATCATATTATTTTTTTTTAATTTATGAAGGTTTAATTTTAACTATCATTTTATTAAAGATATCTCTGAAACTCAATTTGGGCAAGTAAAAGTAGGCCTATAACAACTTATATAGTAGATATAAACGAAAATAGTAAATAAAAACGAAAGATATACTGAGGTAAAAGATTAAGAAATCATTTAACTTTTTTTTTAAAAAAATACCTGAGATCCTCTGGCATATATATTACCATTATCGGCTATCACAGCTCCAAATGGGTCGTATTTCCATTGCTCCTGAGAATTTTTTAAAATATTTATTTTGAAACAAAAATTTAAAATATATTAAATACGTATACGAACAAAATGAGATTAGTGATGGACCGGTAATCGGCCGATATCAATATAATATCGGCAATATCGAATCGAATGGGTCGGCTTCTAAAAAGTGGTATATGTAATGAAACATCTCTAATAATAAAGTAATTCTTTTTCGATGTACCGTAGGATGGGAAATATTTAGACATCTTGTTTTATTACATGGCTACATATTATTCAAATCCAAATTAAAAGAAATAGGTTGTGGCAGTTTATTATTCTTATTTATGCGTGCGGCTTATAGCGACACTTATAAAGTATTGGCTTAATTTGACATATTTTTTCCAGGTACCCCTCATAATGCGGAATGAACTCCTAACCAAACTCACCAACATAATTAAAACATTTTTATTTAACCAGGCATGGTCCTTTTCTATATCTTCTTACTCCCCGTGGGCGTTTAAGTAAGTTACTTGTTCCTTGCGGGAAATAGGTAGCTTAAGCATATTCAAAACTTTATGGATAGTCTTATCTCATAGGATATCCCAAGTTTCTTAAAATTAAATTAGCTGGGAATGACAAGGACCAAACGTAGCTAGGTTGTTGCATACAACCAAAAGGACGATGAGCTTACAGCCATGTAAATGTAAACAATGAAATAATGATACATCCATCTTTTCGTATCGAAGATCGACATCATGATATATGTTATTGACACTTTATCAAAATTCACAAAGATCTGCTATTAGGAGAAGAGCCAAACCATGCACGGACTTGTCTAAATCCGACTAAAACCGTATTATGCTCTTTTACAATTCTCTCTTTCTAAAATAAATCATTTTCTATTTTCCGGGAGAGCATAACAAAATTTTCTTCCACTTTCCTAGATGACAAAAATGAATGAATGGCTAAATTTTTCCCAAATTCGTTAATTTTATTTGAACCGCTTTATGACCTTATTTTGTCGGACTGGATGGGACCTTCAAAAAAATGTCAAGTCCGGTGAGTCAGATATTTTTTTTATAAAAATCGGGTGGGACCAAACTTGAAATAATAAATATTAAAATTGAGTTCACTTTAATAAATTATAGGATGCATTATGATATGACTTATTTATGCGCGTAAATATTTCGATTTAAAATCTACTTAATTATTTGTATTTATTTTTGAATTATTTCCTTAAAACTTGATTTACTTTCCCTTTATTTTTCAATAAAATAATTTTTTTTAAAAAACGGAAAATATTTACACTAATTTCGAAAGAAATTCGAATATAAGATCATAATAATTAATTCCTTCAATGTAAATCATGATAATAAAACTAGGCAAATTGTATCCTAATAATTAATTTCACTCTCTTTTACTACGAATGGCATCGACTATAGCTGACTTCTATATATGCATACCTTTAGGATATCAAAAAGATTGTGATCAAATTTAGGATCTTACATAAATTAATATTAACTTTAAAATGGCTAAAATATTGAAGCCCTATTTTTTCTTACCGAAGAATCAATGTTATGATATTAAAATAAATATATTTCCCAAAATAATGATTGGGTAAAGCAGATACAGTAAAAAGCACTGTGCAAAAGTTGTTTATATATTTTAATTTGGCTTGGCTAATAGCACCTTAAATACCATAGTTGTCCGATTGACTGTATAATATATTCATTATCGTTTGTCATAAAAATCTAGTTATTTAACTGAAAAGTATCAAAACCCAATTTTAAAATATATAAGAACCAGAACCCAAATTTACATTTATAGACGGCCCAAAACCGAATCACGAATTATTCATTATTAGATTTTATTCGAATGGAGAATACAAATAAGGAAAATTTATTATCGGTCGAATAAATTTCATAGATTATTCATATAACTCCAAATTATTCGAAATAATTTAATAATTTGTAAATATTGAAAATTATTAGTAAATATTCAATATTATTCATAAATATTTGAGATTACTCTTGGTCTTATGTATTTAACATGTTCCTTGTATTTTATATTTTTTTTACCCTTTCTTCTAATCTATAAATCACTTTTTTTAAATTTAAATAATCCATTTTTTGATTTCTGAAAATATTTTTAATTAAATTATCGAACAGAATACTCGATAAAAAAAACCAAATAATATTATTTGTATGTACGAATGCGAATAATATTATTCGATTTGTATTTTTTAGGTATACCGGAAAGACGGATACAACGTCTGTATGCGAATGCAAGAGCACGGAAGGTAGTGTCGGGTCATTTCCCTTCAAAGTCATTATAGCTATGGGTCTTTGGGGAAAAAACTTTTTTATAAATAGTAAGAATATATATATAATGATATATTCTATTTTTAATATAAATCAGAGATCTGCAAGCCCGGTCCGGGCAGAATTTTATTTTTATAATATACCCGGGTAGGGTCAAATAATTTTTTTTAAAGTTACCCTGACCGGGTCGGGCCTAAAATTTTTCTTTTAAAAATACACGAAACGGGCCTTATATTTTAAAACTAAATATTTTAAATCGCCATTATTAGCTATAAAAATTAAAAATAAACGTAATATATTTTTTAAAAATCTGGGCCGGGCGGTGCAAATAGTACTACCTCTGCAGGTCTCTGAGAAAAATAATGTAGTATGACCAAATTCGATATCTGATATTTTTTTTTTCTCTCTATCTCTTCATTTTTTTCATTCTATATTAAGTTAAGAGACTAATATCATAATAAGTTATGCTATATAATAGCCAACCAACTGGCATCCCGATATGATTCGTCATTTAAAATTATCGAGAACAAGAATTCCCGGATAACATTATTAAAAAAATATTTTAGAAAGAGATTTCAAAGCTACACAATTTCCTTATTCGACGTTTTGACCTAATAAAAAAGATGGGACAAATTAATTTGAAAATATAAATCAATATCAAGTTCTAATATTACAAATATAGGCATAGGTCTAACTCTTAAAATTAGTACTTCCAATCGTTTGGCCAACTTCACAGTACTAATTTCATAGATACGGCTCAGACCCAAAACAAAAATTTATTGAATGAAAAAAAATCAATAGAAAAAATATAAACAAAAAAAAAGGAAAGACAAAACAAAACAAAAGCATATAAAAAAATATAAGCCAAGAACAAATATTAAACAAAAATCTTAAAAAACCAAATTCAAATCTTTGTATTTGATTTTCGGAGATATATATTTCAAACAAAAATAGATATTAAAACAAAAATTCCTAATTGAATTGGTCAAACAGAGATCCGTCTGAAGGCTGAGGAAAATGAGGTTTAGGGACTAATCGTATACCCCTCTTCCCCCCCCCCGGTAAATATTAGTTATCGTAAGTAAGTAAAAAATAAGAATCCGATTGCAAATTTTTATATTTAAAAAATAATAAAATTAAAATGATGATTATTATTATTATTTGGCAAAAATAATAGTAATAATTTTATGCGTAATTTAAAAAGGGAGGAGAGGGGGGGGGGCAATCCTATTAGCAAAGCCAAAACAATTTTTTTTATTAATTTTTTAATTACCATGAAATTAGATTTTTTGCCAATTTTTTTAAAATTAATAATTATAAAAATATTTACAATTATATACTTGTCATCTAAATATAAAAATAATATTTATACATTACATTACTAAGTACAAATTAGATTAGAAAACAATATGCTGCAATTACCAAAATTAAACAGAAAATCAATAATATGCAGTAGAGGTCTGCAATGGGCGGGGTTTTAGCCAAAAAGCCCACTCGTTGTTTTGAATTTTTTCGTCCGCCCGTTATGTTTTAATTAAAAAAATTACCCGTCTGCACATTTGTCTATAAATTTTGTTTAAACCAGCGCGCTTAATGTTTAAAAATTATTTTAATAGCTGGTTTGGCTCTATTTAAAATGTATTTTTAATTAAACATTTATAATATCCATATTATGAAGTAAAACGATTATTTATAACCTGAAAAATACTAAAAATTCACCCTCCAGCCCCGCCCATTACCTAATTTTTTAAACCCCCCCCCCACCAATGTTGAAAATATTTTAGAAACCTTGATGGAAGGGCGTGGACGAGGGGGGTGGATAAAAACCAGCCCATTGCAAACCTCTAATATGCAGCAACGTCGAATACAGTAACCCTGTATGAGAGCTTATCAGAATATTACAAATTTATGATTTTTTTTCGCCCTTCACAAAATCAATTTAGGCGCCAAGTCGCAATATTTTCTATCGGTGGGGCAAAAAATATTATGTATGTTTTTAAATCTTTAAAAGACGGATTCGAACGATGCAGATCCCTAATTACAAAAAGGTAATTAAAAAATTATATCTTCTATAAAAAAAATACATAAAGAGTATACATAAAAAGTGTATAACACCTTTCCAGACTCGTTACCAGGTGGCGCAGCAATTTAAAAAATAAAATAAAGGTGGCTGTTGTTATTTGTGTCGATTACACCTCGATTTTGTTTAATTTCTTTTTAAAATCACCCAAATTAATGATAAAATATGAGAATCATACTTTTTTTCTTTTTTCTTTCTTCAAACTGTTAAAAGTTGGGTAATTTTTAAAATTAGTTATAAATTTTAATATTGAACTTAAATCTTGTTTCGAATATAAATTAGCAGAGCAAATCCGATACCTTTACTTACGGCAGGCTTGTTATTCGATCCTTTTAAAAGGATCGAATCCTGATCGCGATCCTTTTAAAAGGATCGAATCCTGATCGCGATCCTTTTCTTATTTTTTAAATTTCTCAAGAAAATTTATGCTAGATGCAAAATTAACTAAAAAAAATTAATTAAATATAGTGTTTATTGTATTGTAATAGAATAATATAACAATAATATATTTATTTTTATAATCAAAATTAGCCTTTAACAACAAAAAAATTTCCAAATTATTATCATTCAAACATCTTTTACTAAACAAGCGCGCTCACAGGAGGCTTGATAGCAAAGGTGTGTTATATTGAAAGAATTTTTTTATTTTAAATTTAGGCATAGGTATTAAAATTATGAATTGAACCATCATTTTATGAATAAGCATCTGTATGTAGTTGATTAGGCAGCCTTTCCAAATGGGTAATTAACCTTTTTTTTTACCAACAGATTTTGAGGCAGATTGATATAAGGCAAATTAAGCTAAAATTTTGTTGAATTATTGCTGCTAATATGGTAATGTCCTCATAAAATGAGGGTAATCTATAATATGAAATGATAATTAACATTATTATAAGGAGCTGAGGAAAAGATAAAAGATTCAAATTTATATCTGCACTTCCATACAGGGTTGCCATGTCTCCCCCCATCAGTGGGAGTCTCCCACAATTTTTTAGTTTACCCACATACATCTCACTCCCACAATTAGAAATCTCCCACAATTTTTTAATTTCTCCCACAATTTTTTTTTTAGCATTTTAATGTTTTTAAATATTTAACGACTCCAAAATAAGTGCTAACTTTACTTATGGTAGGACAAAAATAAGCAAGGCTATCACAAATGTGTTAGGACCTGAATCCAAGAGGTCAATTCTAGACGATTTGAAAGAAGGACATCCATATGTTATTTTAACAGATGCATCAAATAAGGGAAATATTAAAACATTTCCCGATCCTTCGCTATTTCAACAAGAATAAGGGCATTTCTATAAAACTATTGAAATTTTTTTCATCCGATAGTGAAAAATCCAACGATATAGCTAACCACATAATGGTAAATATAGCTGATTCAGGGTTATCAATGAGTTGCATGTCAGCTTTCTGCGCTGATAATACCTCTGTTAATTTTGGAAAAAATCAAAGTGTATTTACCGAATTGAGGCAGCACAATAATGAATTAATACCAATTGGCTGTATATGCCATATACTGCATAATTCTTGCAAGAAGGCAATGAATGTACTATCTGTAGATGTCGAAGTAATTGTGATGAAATGTTTTAACGAATTTAGTTCATCAACTAAAAGAGTCACTGAATTAAAAGAATTGGTGGAGTGGTCTGATTTGGAATGGTGAGAGTTGTTGCGATATGTACCTATCAGGTGGTTATCATTAATACCTGCCATCGAGAGGATTTTAAAATTTTACGAACCCTTAAAGAAATACTTCTTAAATAAAGATTTTAAAAGCTGTCCTAGAAAAATTTTTTCGAGGATGAAATGTCAGAAGCATATTTGGGATTAGTTTCACATGTAGGAAATCTACTTCATGTAGTTAATATTCAGTTGCAGTGGCGTAGACAAGGGGGTGGTTTTGGGGTCGAAACCCCCCCCCATGGAAAAAAAAATTTTTTTTTTTAAAAAATGTTTATTTTTTTTATAAAATAAAAAATTATTATTTTTTTATTGCGAATAATTATATTTAAAAAACGGTTTCAATTTAGAGAAATTAGATAATATATTATATATAATACAATATGAATATGAATATCACAATGAAATATATTTATAAAAAAAGGAGTTTTAATTTTAAATGATCACATCGTTTAAAAATATATATAAATTATATGAACTAAAATATTAAATAACAATAAAAGAATAAAGATATATTGTATGTAAATAATTTCTGGCATAGTTAAATTTATTAAATAACAATAAAGATATTTTGTAAATATTTTCTGGCTTGGCATAGTTAAATTAGATATTTATAAATTTAATTATTAAATATATATTTTTAAACTATATAGATAGTTTGTAAATTTTAATTTTTTATAATTTTTAAATATGGATATCCGTAAGTTTTTTCGTCAACAACAAAAAGAAAAAGGTATATAAAAATTTAAGTTGTGTAATTTGAATTAGAAATATATATAGATATAGATGTTGCTCTTGCTAGTAAAAATCAGCCATCAGTTGAGTTGGTTTTCGTTGTATCCTCAGATGACGAAGGTAATGGTATTATTTATAATATCTTTTATTTAAATCTTGCAATTAGAAAGACCAAAATCGATCAAGAATAATTATAATTATTGATGCTATCATTTGGTTAGGGAGGCAGGGCTTGGCGTTAAGAGCTCATAGGATATCTCCTGGCCCCCTAACACTTACATCCCCTTCTCACAATGAAGGAAATTTCAAGGGATCATTGAAATTTTTATGTAATAATAATGACAACTACCTAAAGCTTTTTGAAAGCTCCTCTAAAAATGCTACTTACCTAAGTCCCACTATTCAAAATGAAATAATATCAATATGCAATCAGTTTATATTAAAGGAAGTTTCTTAAAAAGTCAAAGCATCACCATTTTTTAGTGTTTTGGCGGATGAAACTTCCGATATTGGTAATATTGAACAACTAATT